CAAGAACCACCTTGCCGATTAATGATTTGGACCTGGTTTCACCTGTTTATCAAGGATGATGGACTCAGGAATTCTACCAGGCATGTACAACCACATCGTCATTGCAGTTCTCTTCCAAAAATCAACAGTGTGTGTGTGTGAGTGAGGTGAGTGAGGAGGAGGACGGGCGAGGAGGAGGAGGCAGCGGATACAGAACTAAAAACAAAAAACCCACACGTCAATGTGGGGAAAAAGGAGAGAGCAAGAGGGCAAGGGGGCAAGAGGGCAAGAGAGAATGTGAAGATGTGAGGATGTGAAGATGTGAAGATGAGAAGATGTGAAGATGAGAAGATGTGAAGATGAGAAGATGTGAAGATGAACAGATGTGAATATTTGAAAATGTTTTGTGAAGATGTGAATATGTGAAAATGTTTGACAGACCCCCACTACTAGAAGAACCCTTCGCTCAGACGCTCTCGGGAGAGAAGAGGGGGAAGAATGAAGATGAGTTGGTTGAGAGTGAGAGTGGCGTTAGGAGCGTTGAGAAACAATTAAGTTTGTAATGCGTTTGTAGTAATGCGTATCTAGCATGCGTGCGTATTGCGCACTAGTTGCGCCATAAAATCCTGAAGCCGCAGGTCCAGTTCCTTTGAGTGATCCTGGCTTAGCAGTTCCTGTAACTCCTCCAAGGGATGATGTTACTCTGGGCAGTCCACATGGAAGTTCAACTGAGCCAATGATCCAGGAGGAGCTGAGTCTGAAGAATCAAAAAGGGCCAAGGTGGAGGAAGCAAAGAAACAGAGAATCAATAGGCTTCGACTGGAATATGAAGAGCGACTCGGTGCAGTAAGAATAGCCTACAAGGAATATTTCACGATGGATGATAACTCTACAGACCTCACTGTTGATGATGAGATTGACGAAGAGGATGAGTTTTGGTATGGTGAAGATGAAGTGAAACTGGGTGACATCCCAGAAGCATTGTGGTCCGATGCCCCGACTGATGTGATTCCAAGCCATGCGCCAGAAGCTTGGATAGATGAGTTGGCAGATCAGGTTGAGATTCAACGTTTGTGCAGCATGAAGGTTTTGGTTCGTACAGGGGATTATCAAGGTGATGTCAGCGGCAAGCTTACAACACGCTTTGTGAGAGACTGGAGATTGAAGCCCTATGGGGAGCAGAAAAATTTGAGGTGGATGCGTCGTTCAAGGTTTGCTGCAAGAGAGTTTGCGAATGACAAAAGATGGACACCTTCAGTCCGGCAACTGGAGTGCATACTGCAAATTTGTTACCCATTCAATATCTCTGGCAAAAGCAGCAGGCAATGGAAATGGAAAACAAAGGTGACTATGAGGTTGTGATGGGTTGCTTGGATGTCAAAGATGCCTTCCTCCAAGTGGAACAGCCAAACCCCATCTTGCTTCACCTTCAGAACCAACCCTTTGTGATCTTGCGAAACTTGCCTGGCCAGAGAATGGGTGCTCGACAGTGGTTTCAACATTTGCGTGAGCACCTCAGAGATGCATATGACTTTGAGTTTTGCAGTGAACAACCTTGCTTGGCAAAAAATCAGCATGCCACTATCCTCATCCATGTCGACGATATCATGTTTGTTGGCAAGCAGTCCGTTTGGGAGAACACCTTTCTCAAAGGTATGAGTGAGAAGTTTTCAGCGAGCCATTCCCAACTCAATGGCTTGGGAACCAGCGTTACGTTTTTGAAGAGGAAAATCACTGAGATGGATGGATGGTTGATGCTTACGCCTGGCACTTCAGTTGAAAAGGTTGTAAGAGCATTTGAATCAGCATTTGGTGTTGCTCGCAAGCAGAAGGTGCCCTGTGACTCTAGCATCCAATTGCCCGATGAGCCAGAGAAATTGAATTCCAAGGATTCGAGTTCCTACAGGTCCATTATCGGGCTATGCCTCTAGGTGAGCAGAGAACGTCCAGACCTTATGTTCACCATCAAAGAACTTCCAAGCAGCATGGCATCCCCAACTTTGACTTCAGTGCAACGTTTGAGAAAACTGGTTGGGTATATGAAAGATGTTGGTGACTTAGCTTTGCGTTTGGATGTGCCTATGCCTGGACAAGGGAAGTGCTTTTCAGATGGAGGTACAACTTGGATTCTGGAGACTTACTCCGATGCAGATTGGTCTTCAAACACGGATCATCGAACATCGACCTGGGGTGGAATGCATTATTTGAACAATGAGTTTGTCTTTGGCAGCAGCAGAAGCCAAAGAACCATATCCCTTTCATCTTGCGAATCAGAGCTGCATAGCATTGTCAGTGCGATGTATGATGGAATTTTCATTGTTGCATGTGCTCAGTTCATATCTGGAACGGCAGTGAAATATGTGTTTACTCACGAAGTGATAAGCACCTTATTTCAAAAATGGAAAAACCAAAAGTTGCCAATCCCAAACTGGAACTTTTTGGTGATAGCTTGTTACAGTTTTTTGGTTTGTGCCTGTTTTCAAACTGTCTGTTTGGATCTTTCAGAACAGTTCATTTTTCATTTCATCTCACTCCTCATTTTACACTAGGCGGTGGGTTTCCTCCAGATTTGGTCCAATGGGCCACGTTTAGCTGGGGGGAGAGAGCAATGGTCGAGCCCTCTGAAACAGCTAGTGTGTCAGATGAAGCTCTGGACTTGTTTGGAGGGCATGGCATTAATTTAGAGGAGTTACCTGGTTGTGATGCTGTTTTTCATGACACTGCAAAACCTGGCGTTTCTCAAACAACTTTTGGGCGGGACACTTTTGAAGACGTGGATTTCGCAAGAGCTGTGGATTCTTGTTTCAAAGCCTTGGAATCGAAACCTGTTTTGCTGCCTTGGGAGTCGCGAGCCTGGAAACCAATTTTTCAGCAGAATTTTGACTACATGGATGACTTCAACATGGGTAGCATTTTCCGTCCAATTTTGCCGGGACCTGTTGCAGAGCACTCAGTTCAGAAGAAGATCAAACTGTCACCTCCAGTTGTGCTGTCCTCTAATTTTTCACGTGCAGTTGTGAAACACCCTGAAGAGACTTGGATGGACAAAAGGGACTCTGAGTTACAAACTGGGTTGAAGCGTTGGCTCACTTGCATTGTGTCTTGGAACCCCATGGAGAAAGTGGTACAGGAACTGCAGGGGTGCGCGACTATAGCAGATGGGCTGACTTTGCTTCGTGACTACATGGGTACACAAGCACCTGCCACCTTGTACAAGCGTGTCAACAGTTTGGGGATCTTGTTTCAGCATGTTAAGCTTCATGAATTTCCATGCACTGAACTGCAACTGTATCAGGCGTTGTGCAACATGAGGAGTGCAGGTTGCAAGCCGAGTCGAGTCAAAGGCATTGTCGAAGCGGTCACTTTTTGCAGATTTGTTTTTGACATTGACAAACTTCAGGAGTGTGTGAACAGCAAGAGATGTTTAGGAGTGGCTAGGGGTTTGCCTTCGGATTTACCTTGTCAAGCTGCTCCTTTGACCGTCATGCAACTGACTGAGCTTCATAGACTTGTGCAAGAGTCAGCAGACACCTGGGACAGGGTTTTCGCAGGGGCAGTGTTATTCTGTGTTTACTCACGCAGCCGTTGGATGGATTTCCAACATGGTTCTGAGCTCAGGTTGGAGTACGTGGGTGATGACATCAGATACATCTCTTGCAAGGTTTCAACTCACAAAACCATGCATGCTTCAGCATTCCGTTTCCGTTTTTTGGAATTATGCGCACCTGCAGTTGGAGTTGTTGATTCAGACTGGATTGGACTTTGGATGAAGGCCAGAGTGACTGTAGGGATTCAGGATGAACATCCTCCCATGCCAGCTGGAGGGGAAGCCGACCGTGCGACCTCTTGGTACAGATGAGTGTGGCTCTTGGTTGAGACTCTTGTTGCAGATGAGTCCAGTTGCTTCACAGAATAAAGTCAGAATCACTTCACATTCATGCAAGTGCACAATCCTTAGTTATGCAGCCAAACGTGGACTTCCCCACGATGAGCGCCTGGTTTTAGGGCATCATGCCGCATGCCCATCAAGGGCGCATGGCAGATGTGTATGCAAGGGATTCTGAAGCTAGGCCAATGCGCATGATGGAAGAACTTTTGAGTGAGATCAGATGCAAAAGGTTTTTTCCAGATGAGTCGAGGGCTGGCAGACTTGTGAATGTCAGTGCAGTGGATCTTGCAGAAATTCCTTTTTCAGCTTCGCAGCATGCCGTCCCGTCAGGTGAGCCCGAGCAGGTGAAACAGCAGTTTGAAGAAGCAGGCTGGGAGTGTATCTCCGTGGCATCCAGTGCGTCTGAGCGCCATGATTCTGATGTCCAGTCGGAGCATGTCACGACTGACTCGTCTTCAGATGAAAGTGAACAGTCTCGTGAACAGCCTGCACCTGCCCGCTTGTTTCATCCACCAAAACCACCTGATGGGCATTATTTTTTGCAACACAGTAAGTCAAAGACTATACATATAATTCAGGACCACCGCAACAGAATCCTTGAGTGTGGTCGCCAAGTGACCGACGCTTACACCAGGGATTTCCAAACTCGTTGGGACTCCTCAGTTTGTTCACACTGCCTGAAACGCACGGCAGGATTGGACAGGAGTGGATGAAAATGTTTTGGTGTCGCTGTTGGGATTGAATTTGTGTTGCGATGTTTCTTGAGCAATTCCATTGATGTACATTACTCAACTTCATTGTATCAGTTGATTGCACAACCTTCCTTGCACACTGTCAAGTGTGATGACTGCATTCAGCTGCTGAGCCACGTGGTGCCACCAGTGGTCTTTCCGTGTTGGGTAAATGATCCATCACTGGGTTCAAGCAACGCAGCCATTTAGGGGGGCAAGACACAATTACCACGTGGTTACTCCAGTGGTTTTTCAGTGTTGGGTGAATGTACTTCCTCCCACACTGTCCCGTGTTCCCTGGGTGCTGTTTTAAATCCACATTCGAACCTTCGAAGTTTTATCAATTTCTTGTAGGACACTTGCAGACTTGTGCACTTTTAGGGAACCCGTATTTTTGAGCCATGTCGCTGCTTGATTCAGAAGCCGCCTTCAAAAAGAGGGTCATCGAGATTGGTGACGAGATGCTTTTTCAGACCCTGGACAATTCAGGTCTGAAGACTTTTAGCGGCCTGGCTTTTGCTTGTGGCACCCCACAGTCACAGCCTGATGACACAGCCTTTGGTACATTTGCTGCAGGTGTTTTTGGGGCTCCCCCCACGCTGGGCCAGTTGTCCCAACTTCGCAGGCTGCACTTCGAAGCTTGTACAATTGTTTTTGCAACCTTGAAGAGCAACGTAGCTGGTGACCTGTCTGATGGAATTCGTAAACTGCCACCAGCAGAGAAGCAGGCAAGAGCAAAAGATCAGCAGACAAGACTCACAGGCATCACGCTGTCCGGTGAGATGGAGCCCAGTTATGCGCTGGTGGATAAATGTGCAAGCATGAGGGAGACGGGATCCCTGCTTTGGATCCATCCGTCTCAATGTACAAAACGTGAACAAGAAGTGCAGCAAACTTTGAAGGAAAAATCACAAGTGCTAAAGATCGAGAACATGACGCTGAAAATGGCGGCTGACACAGAAACCTTTGAAGCTGATCATGGCACTGAACTAAAACTTATGTGGTGCTTCCAAAGACGTGGATTGGCATTTGACCAAGCAGCTTTGATTTCTTGGGACAAACATGAGAGTTGTGTGCCAGCAATGTTTCAGGCGTATTCAGCAGAACCACCACCTTCATTTGCGAAGGTGACCATGCCTCAACTGTTGCGAGCCGACAAGGAGCTCTTCACCATCTTAGCACGGGAAGTGGAGACAATCCAACCTGATACTGTTGGACACCGCCCTCTTGATGATGCAATTGCACGTTTGAAGACGGACCCAAGGGTGACCATGCACTTGATACCGCTGCCAACAAAGGCGCATTCAGTGGAGGCTTCCAATGCGGCAAAGCCTGACAATGCCAGGCCAAAGGCCAAGACTAGGCCGGGCAAGAGAGCTCGCGCCGCAACCGAGGTGAAAATGCCAGACGAGCTGAAGGGTGGTCACTCCAAAACAGTTGACAACAAGCCCATCTGTTGGGCCTTCAACATGAAAGATGGATGTTCAGCAAAGACCTTTGGAAACCCAGTGCGCTGCTCCAAGGGCATCCACGTATGTGCATTTTGCCGAAAAGGTGGACACACTTTTTTGACGTGTCGGCAGCGGGGCAACAACTGACTAGGTGAAGAACAGCCCCCGACACAGCAACAGACAGAGCCAAGGAGCCCTCGTCAAAGTGATGAAGGCCTGCACAGAGCTGCGAAGCAACCGGAAAATCTTTTTGCAAATCTCACCGAGGGCACTGAGTGGAAAGATTTTTTGATCGTTGAGATCTTCGCTGGAACAGCCCGGTTAAGCCGTGCTTTTGCCAAACGAGATTTTCGAGTTTCATCTGTGGATCACACAACAAAAAGATCCACAGGCCTTATCACCATTTTGGACCTCACGAAGGAAGAGGATCTAAACTTTTTGCTGGATTTCTTGAAAGCTGAGCTCAATGTGCTGGTTTATATTCATTTAGCGCCACCTTGTGGCACGGCATCAGCAGCCAGGGGAACCCCAGTCCCGGGGTGTCCTCCAGAGATGCAACCTGCACCTCTTCGAACAAAAGAGTTCCCAAACGGTTTGCCGGGACTTTCAGGTCTCAACTTGCTTAAAGTTGAAAAGGCGAATGCACTGTATCGTGCCACCTTCAAGATCGTTCAATTTTGTGTCATGTACAATGTTTTGGTTTCAATAGAAAATCCATTAAACTCCCTATTTTGGCTGACAGAGCCAATGGTCGAACTGTTTGAGATGTGTGAGGGTTTTCGCGTAGTGTTCGACAGTTGCATGATGGGAGGGCAAAGAGACAAAGCTACCCTGTGGTGGTGCAATCGTCCAATTTCTTCACAATTAGCGCTGAGATGTAGCAGAGATCATCCACATAAAAACTGGACACCTGTATTTGACAAAACGAAAAAACGCTTCAACTTTCCAACAGCTGAAGAAGCGGCCTATCCAGAAATTTTATGCGATCGAGTTGCAAACCTTGTGGATCAAGCGTTGCAGCATTGCAATTTCACCAAGCTGCAAAACCTGGAGCAGCAAATTCACCATCAACGATCCACGGCAACTAATTCCATTTTAATGGGACTTTTACCAAGAGGGCGGAAATTGCTCCCTCTGGTCAGTGAATTTCAGTTTTACAGCCAATGGTTGGTGCCGCCGCATTTTCCTGCTGATGATTTGGACAAACTTTTGAAGTCTTTTCTTAAAGGAGCCCGAATTGTGAACCGCAAACTCATGCATGGGGGTGACTTTCGGGTTTGCGACAGTGTGTTGAATGATGAGTGCAGCTCTCAAAAGAGCAAATGCATTTACGTTAATGGTTTTGCTGGCAACTTCACTGAACTGCAGAAGGTGGGCGAAATTCTTTCAATAGGCATTCCCAGAGAACCTGAGGACTTTGTAGCTCGAGCAGTAGCTGCAGGCCACCCCAGGAACTTATTTGCAGAAGATTGGTCGGCTAGGGACCCGTTTGTCCTTGAAAATTTGTCCAAGGATGTCGGAAAGCTGTTGGACAAGAGGAATGCTTTCTTCAAAAAATGGACAAGTCGCGCAAAAGAATTGTCCAGCAAAGAGAAAGACCTTCACAACTCACTGGACCCGGAAATTGCAAAGGTTTTCAAAGGGAAGAGACTTCTGCTGTTTGAAGAGATCCTGACCGAGATTGGTTTCCCTGACCGCAACCTGGTGAGGGACATTTGTGCGGGCTTCCGCATTACTGGCTGGCTGAGAGACTCCATGATTTTTCCTCATCGCTCAAAGCCACCCCAGTATTCAGTGGAGGCACTAATGCGCCTTTCAAAAGGCATCAGTAGGAGCATTTTCAAGTCAGTCAACTCAGAGGAAGCCAGCGATGCTTTGGTTGGTGCTTGGGAAGGCACAGTGACAGAAATCGCAAAGGGGTGGTTGGTCGAAGACACGAACCCTGACTTGGACAAGCTGGTGGTGGCTAGGCGTTTTGGCCTAGCACAAAAACTCAAGATAAGAGTCATTGACGACTTCAAACAATGTGGTGTGAACGGAGCCGCAGGTCTGCCAGAGAAATATGTGCTTCATTCCATCGACGCAATTGCGGCCACTTTGGCCAGAGCATTGTCCCTGGGCCTGCCAGCTGGGGAAAAGCTATACGGAACCACATTTGACTTGGTGGCGGCATACAAACAGTATGCGATCCATCCCGAAGATCGGGAGCGGGTCCGAATTTGTGTGAAAGATGTTAGAGCAGGAGTTGCAAAGATCTACAAGATCAACGCGCTGCCTTTTGGAGCTTCAGGCAGCGTGGCAGGGTTTCTTCGCATCTCAGCTGCCCTGGCTTGCATTGGCCAGGTATGCCTGGGACTTTGGTGGTCAAGTTTTTTCGACGACTTTCCCACCTTGACAGCCTCCTCTGTAGCGGATCAATGCAAAGCTCATGTGCACCTGCTTTTCGACCTCTTGGGCCTAGACTTCGCCCGCGATGGGGACAAAGCTGGCTTTTTCGGAGAGTCCTTCAAAGCGCTTGGGCTGCTCATTGATTTGTCGGAATTTTCAGCTGGCCTCGTCCGAATTGGACACACCGAGAGTCGCAGACAGGAGCTCCTGTCACAGATAGAGATGCACCTCGAGCAGAACTGCTTGAAACCAAAAGACGCAGAAAGACTCAGGGGTCGTTTGCAATGGTATGATACTTTTCTTTTTGGGCGCATAGCCAACTACTCCATGAGCATGATTAGCAAGAGAGCCATCTCCTGCTCTCTGAGCGGCAGCCTGGACCCGCCGCTTCGAAGGGCACTGCAGTTTCTCAAAGAACGTGTCTTGGTGTCTCAACCGGTGCAGCTGACAAAAGCAGCTGGGAAGACTTATTTCATTTTTACTGATGGTGCCGTCGAACCGTCAGATGATGGAACGAGCATGCTTGCCTCCGTTGGGGGCATTTTGTACAATGCTGATGGCGTAGCCGAAGCCTTTTTCAGCGAACAGGTGCCAAAGCTGATCCTGGACATGTTTCTCAAGTATTCCAGCCATCCAATATTTGAAGTCGAACTTCTAGCAGTATTGGTTGCTGCACATGTATGGGCGCAGGCCCTCACCAACACCTACGTGGTTATTTACATCGACAATGAAGCTGCAAAGAGTGCACTGATGAAATCTCACTCCAGCGTTTTGTTTGGAAATGTACTCACCACTTGTTTTGCGCAGATTGAGTTTGAGCACAGCCTGAAGGTTTGGTTCCGAAGGGTGCCCTCGTACTCAAACCCGGCTGACAAACCCAGTCGTTTCGAAATCCAGCAACTGTTGGACGCTGATTCCGCTTTGGTTAAGCCAAGCTGGGATCAAATACTGCTTCTGATCGAAATGAAGGAGCAGACACTTTGACGTGGGGTGGCTAGCGGGTGCCTAACTCGTGAATATTACCCCAATGCGGAAAAAGGAAATTTAATCAAGTCCGACAGTGTGCTGTGAGTTTTCATTCAAGTTTAATTTTTATAAATTCAAGAATCGATGCGCGAGCGAGTTTTTCTATAAACAAAACTGGAACAAGCGTTCCATTTGGAAATAAGTGTTTACTCACGAAGTGATAAGCACCTTATTTCAAAAATGGAAAAACCAAAAGTTGCCAATCCCAAACTGGAACTTTTTGGTGATAGCTTGTTACAATTTTTTGGTTTGTGCCTGTTTTCAAACTGTCTGTTTGGATCTTTCAGAACAGTTCATTTTTCATTTCATCTCATTCCTCATTTTACACCTCAAGCGGTGGGCGGTGGGTTTCCTCCAGATTTGGTCCAATGGGCCACGTTTACCCTCCCTCTCCACCCTTTTTCTCCTACCCTTCTGTCGAAGTGGTGCCTTTCTTTCCCCTCTGTCGAGTGGGTTTTTCCCTTCTACCTCTGTCCTGAGGTTTTCAACTTCTCCTTTCTGTCGAATGGGTAATATTTTGCCTAGCCCAAAGCCTGGCTAGCGGGTGTCTAACTCGTGAATATTACCCCAATGCGGAAAAAGGAAATTTAATCAAGTCCGACAGTGTGCTGTGAGTTTTCATTCAAGTTTAATTTTTATAAATTCAAGAATCGATGCGCGAGCGAGTTTTTCTATAAACAAAACTGGAACAAACGTTCCATTTGGAAATAAGTCCACCATACTGACAGTTCTTCAGCACGTCAGATTGCATCACGTGAAGGTTGCGGACGTCTTCGGCATGTGTCAGGAAAGATATTGTGGATTCAACAGAAAACCAATGACAAATCTGGGGCGGGGAGTTCCTACAGTGTGGAATGTTGCAGATATAGGTACCAAGTGCCTTCAGCAGAAACGTCTTTTCCTGCTCATGTATGAAAGTGGATTGATTTACTTGAGCACCTTTGAGAGCGTTGGAGAACAGGAATACCAGGAGCAGGCCAAAAAGACAGGCTATCGAAATCAGTTGCACAAGCTGACGAAAGTTTTTCATGCGTTTGACCGTTGCACTGGGCCTTGAGCCACTGGGAGTGATGGGTCCACAATGTGATGGACCCACTGCAGTCTCAGAAAACAATGTGACTTCATGGAAAATTTGGATGTTTGGAATGATGAATATCCTTTTGCTGGGATTGGTTGCGCTGGCAGTTTTCGTACGGCGCAGATGGAAGAGCCTGGTTAAGGATGTTGAGAGCATCCAACAGCAACTTGGAGATCACTACGAATATGCAGCATGGTTGTGCGAACGTGTGGATAACTTGAGCTGGTTGGTCAATGATGGCCCAGGATTGGCAGAGAGGTTGAATGAATTTCATGTCCGGTTCACAATTTTTGATGAAAATCTCAGAGTCTCAGAGAGAACTTTGCAGTCTTGGATGATGAAACGGATTGCATTCGTTATGGATTGATGGAATATGGAGGTTTTGTAAGAAACACAGTGCTGACCAGTGCTCAGCGAACTCATATGTTCACCCAAGAACGAGCCAATTTCGTCATCTGGAATCATCGCCAGAACATGGCTGATACAATTGACGATCATGGTGAGCCTGGTGAAAATGCAGATGAGGGAATCCCTTACAGATGATGAAAAGATTGGTTCAACAGCTGGCATGACGACATTGCTGGAATCGATGACCAAAACGAAGCTTTGGCTCAGGACGTTTACTACGATGCCTCGCAGATGCAGCAGGCCATAATGACAGTCCTGAATGCCAGTTCCGGATCCCGTTCAACCGGAATGTCCATGCCCGTTGTGACTTCGATTCGAGGAGTTTTTCAAAGGCTGCATCGATATGCAAGAAATCGTGGATGTGAATTCATGGCTGACTTTTACCAAAGGTATGTGAGCGATTTGAACGGAATCATGCAGGGCAATTATTTTTGAGAATTTTGTGAAAATTTTGAAAAGATGAAAAATCAGATGCAATGTCTGGTTGAAACGTCGCAGAAGCTGGAAAACAAAACCCAGAGCTTAGTGCTCAGAGTTTTGAGGAGGAGTACGAATCATTTACAGTTGTACTCATATGCAAGGATGACAGCACAAATCGAGAGTGAAGTGTGCATACATGATACATGAACAGCAGCATGTCATCAACTTTACTTGCTAGGCCTTTTGTGGTCCAAAACAGAGAGCGCTGCCCGTCGTTTGTTCACATATGTGGATATGAAAACCATATCAAGACTTTGCGTCGTCAGGCCCTTTTGGCACAAAACAGCGCGATTGTTGTATAATTGTTTGTTCACAAATTGATTGCAAAACCTATTGGGAACCGAAAGACGCCAAGGGGAAACGAAGAACCCAATCCGGGGAAAGGAACCGAAACAATGTCTCAGGAACCGAAAATCCGGAACCCCAACCCAACTATTACAACCACAACAAAAACAACAATTACAATTACAATTCCAATCGCGACTACGATGGCCACAAGGGCAACAACAACAAACAACACCCACAACCCGCAGCTCGCAACCCACAACCAACAGCCCGCAACCCACAACCAACAGCCAACAAACAACAAACAACAACCAACAACCAACAACAGCTTGCAAGTATCGTGCGAATTTGAAGAATCCAGATCCAACATGTTGCAGATCTTCTGCGAGGCGGAAGTTCCAGCACCAACATGCTGCATGTAATATGCAACATTAAGGTTCCAACTTCAAAATGGTGCAAATAGCATGCAACATGGATCGGTTCACTTCCCAAAGTTTTGTAAATCGCATGCGACATGGAAGGTTTCAGCTCCCTGAAATGCTGCAAAAAATATGACGAATGGAAGGATCTAGCTCCAAAATGCTGCAAATACCATGCGGCAAAATGTCGCGCATGGTGGCAAAATGGAAGGTTGCAAAATCGAAGGTTCCAGATCCGAAGCTGCAAAATCACGCGCAACCAAAAATGACACCCCCAAACAATTTCCAACCTTTGAATTAAAAAACATTTTTGTTTTGATTCGTGTCCAAAAATCATGAATGGATTGTGATTGGACCTCCTCAAATAATCCCCATGAAAACAATTGTTTGGGATTGTTATGCAAATTTGTCCTTTTGAATGACTTGCCAAACAATACGGAGATTGAATTTTGGGCCAATTGATTGTGTTTGTTGTTTCCCAATGAAACATATGAAACCTGTTGCGTTCAACGCCCAGGTAGTAAAATTCTTGTGCATGTTGGCATTTGGTTCCTTAGAAGCGTTGCAGCTTCTTGTCCCTCAACATGCCCGAGATCACAAGGCGTCATATTTTGCCCGCAGCTGGTCATTTCCAATCGGCAATAAAATCAATTTTTCCAGATTGGTCCAAATTTCATTGTCAATGTTATTGCAGCATTGATCAGCAACCAACAGGGTCCGATTGAAAATTGTTTCAAACAATTTGTCATTTCCAATCCGGGGTTTCAATGGTGATTTTTGTGGCTTTGTGTTACGAGATAAATGGGGAATGTGAAATTGAAAAAAATCGAGTAACCGTCCACACCACATAATTATCTATGTTTGCCAGCCGCATTTGATTGACTCGCAAATTCAGGCGGTAACCCCCCTGCCGCACAGCTTGGCTGCGCCTACAGCTAAGTTTTTTGCAGGAGTCACATATGAACACAAGAAACTGACAGAACATGTATCATTTTTTTTTAAACAGGATCCTTTTGAATTGATTCTTTTGGGAAACCTGATAGTGCAGGGAAACTGGGACTGCAGGCATGCATATGCTAAAGTTAAGTTGCTAAAATTGTTTAAACATGCACACACATATATATATATATTTATAGACATAAATATGTATGCATATACACATATAATATGATATACGATATACGATATATGATATATGATATATGATAAATGATATATGATAAATGATAAATGATATATGATTTAGCATGGTGCTGTAACACGTTTTTTTTGTTTCTTTAGAAACATTTAAGGAGTATAATTATACTGATTATACTCATTATTTTGACTTCTTAAAAAATATAATTATACTGATTATACTCCTTATTTTGGCCCGTTAAGGAGTATAATTATACTGATTATACTACTTATTTTGGCCCTTTAAGGAGTATAATTATACTCTTTATTTTTGCCCCTTGACGAGTATAAATATACTGATTAGACTTCTTATTTTGGCCCCTTAAGGCATATAATTATATTCCTTATTTTTGCCCTCAAAGGAGTATAATTTATAATTGTTACCTATTTTTGGGGTTTCACCATTAATTGTGCTTTGAAATTATACCAAATTTCTAGTCTCATTCTGGGCAGAAACTGACGCTTGACAGTGACACTTGACAGTTACATTATATTTTGGGGAAATTGTTTTTTGGTGGCTAAATGATGCGGTATCAGTGGTATCAGCTATCCATTCTATATTTCCAAACATTAATGCACAGGGAACTTGATTCCATGATTTTTGGTGTCCATCTATGTCACAAACTTCAACACTTTGGTGGTGTCTGCGACTGAGATGCCATGACCCAAAATCGGATCTATCCGGTGCCAACAAAAGTCTATTCTGGCCAAACCTACTGGGGGCTGCTAAAGGCAAATGCTACAAGTCGGTGGTTAGGCATTTCAACAATCTGAACAATCCAGTTCCAAATGAATGATGTTGGAAATCCGTAAACGAAACCTACTGAAACCGGGGGGTTCCAAAATTGGAAATTTGGAGGCCCAAAAATTGCCAAATTTCGGGAGAAATTATACTCCTCTCCTCCTCCTTATTTTCTGGAGAAAATTTACTCCTTAACTCCCCCCCTTCGGGAGTATAATTTCTCAAGAAATTGTTCCGTCTGAGGCTCCAAATTTTGTCCGGAACATGTACTCCCAGAGACCCCTGAGATCCTTGAACATTTTCAAACTTTGATTTCATCTTTCGTGGGTGATTCTATGAGACCAGAGTCATTGATCCAATCATATCATTA